CAATGACTTCATCTTCGAGAAGGACGCTGCAGGAAAGGTAAGGACGTTGGACACCAGGTTTTCATATATAGCCAAGGAGTTGCTTATGTTCCTTAATTAATCCATTGTGTTCTGTCCCTTGTAGTTTTTGGTGAATTTTGTTACATACAGATGGCTCCCCATCTGGCTCCCTGATGGCTCCCTGATAGACTCCAGCAAGGAGTCTATCAGTAGGCCCTAGTTACCAACCCTGAATTGGCAGGAAGATGTGTTTTTCTTATTAATACCATAGCTATCAATACTGTTATTATTGTTATTGATGTTATGATTATTAAATAGTCATTAGAATATTTTAGACAATGAAATGATACAAAAGACCCTTTCCTAAAGTGAAGGAAGAGGGTAAACAGGTGAGATAGGTAGTTCTGATAACTGGCTATTTGGTGATTGAGAACTTGTAGAGCCTTCTATGTGTAAATACAAAAAATAAATGTGAATTACAGTGGGCATGGCATGTATTCTTGCCACATGGGGTGACTGGGTTGAAAATGCGTCTGCAGTAGAGATGAATTTATTCATTGTATTTTTTCTTCTTTATCTTCTTTTTCTTCTTCTTCTTCTTCTTCTTCTTCTTCTTTTTCTTCTTCTTCCGTCTATATATGTATTTTATTTCCTCCTCTCCCAGGACTTCATGGAAGGATTATCCCTGTTGACGTGGAGCGGAGAGGTCAGTTTCATCCAGGGTTCAGTCCACCATACCGGCAGAGGCAACAAACTGATGTCGTTGCTCCTCGGTCTCCTCAAGCCCTTCGTCATCACCTACAGTTGTGCTGCAGAGACGCTGGTAAGGCTGATCCCTTAAGACCTGTTGTGGGATTTGTGTGATTGTTAGTGGTGATTTGGTTCGGGTATTGGGAAGCTGTGTGTCGGGTGGTTTGTAAGGAGGGCCATAGGTCCCGGGTAATAGTTGTAGTTGAGTTATTGTCAGTCGCAATTTCTTGGTAATTGATTGTTAATACTCTGTTGTGATGAACTTTATCTTTGTTCTTATTTGGAAAAGAAAGTATTTATTTTCTCCTACTGTGATTTCTTCTTCTTTCTTCTTCTTCTTCTTCTTCTTCTTCTTCTTCTTTTCCTTTTTTTTTTCTTGTCTAATGGATAGATTACAAGAGAGGGGACTACAAAAATATAATTTGCAACAAGTAATAAGTTTTGTAGAAGAAATAACCACACCAATGAGAGCTCTCCTTGACTGGCCAGAAGATGAGATTTTGATATCTCAAACTTAAAATATAGCTATCATGATACTCAACAAATCAAAGAAAATTTGAGGTTTTAGTAATAAAGATGCAAAAAAATGTTTTGTAGAATGCAGTATTTGCTTTTGTCTAACAGATTTTCTCTCTCCCTTACTCCCTATTTTCTACATGTATAAAAAAAAAAAATTGCAATTTTACCAGGCCTCCCAGGATTGGCTTGACAATGGCGAAGTTGTTCTGGCCATCCAGCGTTGCGTGGAGAGACTGGTGGCGAGTTCAGGGGTGTACTCTGCACTCTCCTTGGACCCGACTCGCCATGCACTGCGCTCACTCATCAAGCTGGGAATGGTTGAGAAGAGAAAGGGGTAAGGATTCCTCACATTTTCTTTTCTGATTTATACACCTACACACACACACACACACACACACACACACACACACACACACACACACACACACACACACACACACACACACACACACACACACACACACACACCTACACACACACACCTACACACACCTACACACACACACCTACACACACCTACACACACCTACACACACCTACACACACCTACACACACCTACACACACACACACACACACACACACACACACACACACACACACACACACACACACACACACACACACACACCTACACACACCTACACACACCTACACACACCTACACACACCTACACACACCTACACACACCTACACACACACCTACACACACACCTACACACACACCCACACACACACCCACACACCTACACACACCTACACACACCTACACACACCTACACACACCTACACACACCTACACACACCTACACACACCTACACACACCTACACACACACACACCTACACACACACACACACACACACACACACACACACACACACACACATATCACACACACACACATATCACATCACATATTCACACACATATACATGTACTTATATTTTTATATATATGTTATAGCACTTAATTCTTCTTGGTTTAGGAGAGAGGCACTTGTTACTCTAAGGAACTTTTAACCTTTTGCAGAATGGGTGACCAAATGACACTTTCCCCCAACCAAGAAAAGCTGCAGACGGTTCTCCAGGAGCTCGGCAGAAGCAGCGAAGGAGATCTGCGGCCGAAATTGTAGCCAGTCCACACAGCTGACCAGGAGAATCATTTCAAACAAGGCGCGTCATGCACTGAGCCAGAAATCTTTGTCAGTGTGAAATACAAATAATACAAA